ACAATGAAAGTTTCACATTTAAAACTCTCCTAGATTGTGCCTATGCATGTCTTCCTTTGGCTGGTTCAAATTTGTATCTTTTCCCTAAAATGAACAATATCCATTAGTATAATAGTCTTTAGGGAGTTCTGTGAGTCTTTCTAGTGAATTATCAAATCTGGAGGTGGTTTTGAGAAACCCCTAAACTTAACAGTTGATGTCAGAAGTGAGGGAGGTCTTGGGTGGACTCTTCCCTCTTTATAGTTGGACCCTAACTCCTTGCAGCTGGGGTCAGAAGTCTTGGGGAGACTTGGTGGTCTGGAGGATTATGCCTTTAACCTCGCAGTTTGGCTAACTCTGGGAAAAGAGTAAAAATATTTAAGTAGTAGGGACAGCTACACAATCTACATAATCTAGAGTCTACAGAAATCACTTTGGGGGTGCCTGACTGGCTCAGTGGGTTAAACCTCTGCCTTCGGCTCAGGTCATGATCTTAGAGTCCTGGGATCGAGCCCCACATCGGCTCTCTGCTCGGGGGGGAGCCTGCTTCCCCCTTCTCTCTCTGCCTGCCTCTCTGCCTACTTGTGATCTTTGTCTGGTTAAATAAATAAAATTTAAAAAAAATTACTTTGGCTATAATGGTGAGACTATATTGGTGAAGAGTAAGACTGGCAAAAGATGACAATGACAGTGGGAATGGAGAGGGACATATCTGTGAGATATTTTCAAGGCAAAATTGATTGAATGTGAAGGGTGAGAGAGAGAAATCAGGAATGGACCCGCCAGAAAGAAAATCAGGTTTTAGTTTTGCTTATTTGCAGGGGAGACAAGAAGAAGTTGGAAGATTGAATTGGGTGGTGAACATTTTGAGAAGCTTTTTACATATTCAGGTAAAGCTATTCCATTAGCAGTCAAAGCAGAGATGGATATAGAGTTGGGAACCATAATAACAAATAACCAAAGTCATGGGGGAAATTGATATTGACTACAAATAAGTCACCAGAGTGGAAAAGGTTAAGGATGAAATATCAATACTAAAGGGACAGTTGGAGTACTAAAAATTCACAGAAAAGCAGCAGCCTAAGAGGCAGGAATAAAACCCTAAAACTTAACCTTTTCAGGTTGACAATAAATGCTTGAAAATTTTTTCTTCTTTTTGTTAATGAAAATTTTCTCCATTTCTTATAGTGAACATTTATTACTTCTTAATAAGAAAAAAGATGTAGTTTTAAATGAATATTTTAAAGCTTGCAACCATGTATTTTTTCTATTTATATATGTAAAAGTGAGACAAAGTTTACTCATTTTCTGACCTATCTCAAACTTAATAATGATTCACATAATTCAATGTAACTGAATTATTAATATCTAAAACCAAAAATTTTATTTTCAAAGCAATTTTAAAATTACCTCCCACCCCTCATTACTATCTGGAACTACTTAACTTCACGGGGCTCCTGGAATATCTGTCTCCCCCTCAAGAAGACCAACAAAGACTAAATGAATAACTGAGGAAACAATTGCTCTAAAAATCTAATGACATAGAGCTCTAGTAAAGACTTCAGAGGATGTGTTTCTTCTGGATTAAAACAAATAGATATCCCCAGTATAGTGTAGATAAATAAAATACACCATATTGACCCATGTAACCTATGCATGTAGCCTCATATTCACAGTTGCTATAAGATCAGTTACAAACTCTTATTTGCAAATTATTTCAAAGCTATAAAATATCTCATTCCTACCTTTACAAAGAGAGTCTCTCATTAACCTCAGAAATTCTAATACTATGTCACTAAAAAAATATTTAATCTCTTGGGGGACATTTAACCTTAAAATAAAACAGATCCTCTTATACTAGCAGCTGAAGGTTCTAAATCATTGGAGTTTCTTATTGACAATAGATCAATTCAGTGAAACAGTTCTAAAATATTGCATGCATTTATTATTGATTCTTAATGTTTAATAAACTGGAAAAAATGTTTAAATGGTCCTCAAGAAGGCTTTTATAGTCCACAACAGAGGTCTTTCTCATCCAAGGAGATTTTTGCTGTTTTCAAATTGTTGTTCTTATTCTTTCAAAATGTTATGTGTTTTTTTTAATCTGGTAGAGAAATACCTAAGTATACATTTCCCATTTTTTCCAATTTTGCATTTTTAATGCAAAATCTTTATCCCAAATACTCTGAAAAATTTTTAAGTTGCTAATTATAACTGTATTTTGTCTATTTAAACCTTGATCCTTTAATTACCTAAGTAATTGCCTACCTCAAGTTAGCCCTGACTTTGAGTTTACCAAAATGAAGAATGTTAAATATATCTGGTGTTCTTGTTATAAAATTCTTGAGAAGCAAAATATTGAGAAAAACATTCACTGTTTTAATTTCCAACCGGAGTATACATAAAAATAATCAAAAAATAAGCACCTTGTTTCTTTTCTTCAGAGAATCTGTTTATTTAGCAGCTCCATATTGTATATTTCCAAAATCCTGATAGAAAACACACACTAGAGACTTATAAAACTGGTATTAAATGCAGTGTTATTTTCTTCTTACACTAGCCCCAATTATTAAATTGGTGCGTATATAGTTCAGGTAGCTCTATTTAAGAATTTCAGCCCCCTTTGACAAGCATGGCAGAGTTTTTAAAGTATACCACAAATTCCCAAAATGAAAAGTGGGTGAGAAAATATTTGGGGGAAAGAAAATCACCTTCCCCAAATAAGCAATTTCAACATATTTCTAATCAGAATTATTTCAAAATATTTCCAAGGAAATTTAAGGACCCATCATTTCAAATATGTAAAGGAGAATTTTCTGGTTCAGAGATTGAGAAATGTCAGAATTACCTGTACATAATTTGCCATTTCTGAATTTAGATCCACTTTCTCATCTATAAAATAAAGTGCTTAGACAGAAAACTGATCTACTTTTACAGTGTTTTCCAGTATTGACTCTGGTGACTAATTGATATGATTTTCTTTTATAAATAAAAAATAATTAGAAGTGTTAATTTAAAAGTATATTTTTAACACAGTGAAGGTTTCCTTTGTTTTTTAATCTGTTAAGGATCTTAAAGATACTTTACATAAACAAGCCAGCCATTTTATATCTAAATAAAAATAGGTTAATAGCTTTTGTATGAAGCACAGTAAAAATGATAAAATCTCTGATTTAAGGTGAAATAATATTTTCTAACTTTGTTAGTTTTACTTCAAATCCAAACTTCTGTTCTCAAATGGCCATTTTATCATTTGAATATCTTTTTCTAGTTTTATGCATATTGAAATTAATCTTGCTTCCTTTCCTATGGAAAAACACATTTACCACCTTATCATCTTTATATAGATTCCATTTTTTTAAAAAACCTTTTTGAATGGCAAATGTTCATGGTTGTTCCAAACTAATGACTCTTCTTAATGAACCTTCTCTAATGTTTAAATGTGTGTCTCTTTGTCACTGCATTTGTAAAGGTAAGAACTGTCAAAAAAGGATCAGTCTGATGCTCAGATAAATTCCTCCACTTTGGTAAACATTTCCATTTTAACCAGAAGTTCTAAATGTCTTTATTGAGTGTTTAAAAATGACATTTCATAAGCCCTCTTCTCTGACAGTTTACAAACACTAGGAAGAAATACTCTAAAATGTTAATACCGGTTATCCCTAGTGGTGGTATAACACGCCATTTTATTTTTTATATTTCCCAGAAAGCATTATTACTTTGGTAATCGGATTGCATTTCAAAATTAAATTTTAAAAGGCTTATAAAGTATAGGACATCAACACAGTCCACTTCTCCAGCAGAAAGGTTAAATGCTTTTCCCCTATTGATAAGCTTGTTCTTTAAGGGGAAGAATGATTTGATCAGGTGTCTGTCAGGTTGGATGAAGACTACATTTACTTTCCAGGCCCTTCTTTTAAGTTAGGCTTTGAACTTAATTGCAGTGATTCTTGCAGCAGTAAACTTTTGGGGGGGGGGCAGAGTAACACCTTTCAATACAACTAGAAGCAGAATGCCAAGAGACTCTCAGGTTTACCAATATTTTCAAAGACTTGTCAGTATTCTCCTCCATCATTCCAGAACAATTCCATTTAGAAAGAAACGCAATTGTAAACCATTTCTATTTCAAGCCCATAAAAACCAGACCGGGATGAAAGGCAAAGCCTTGACCTTTCTATTTCAGACTTTCATCTGTGTGGCTAAGCCATCTGCTTTCTCTCCCCTACCCCATCTACTTAATGGACTGAAAATACTGCACCTGATTGCAATTTTATCAAACCAGCCTGACTTTTCCACTTCAACGAATTACTACTCTTTCACCTCAAGTCTCGCTCGTAAAAATGTGCTTACCCTTCCCTCTCAATTCCTTCCCATCTCCCTCAATTATGAGTTATCAAATATCTTAAAGATACGCGGCTTCCGTGGATTAAGCCATCTCAAGATCTCTTCACTTTCCACACCGAGCGCCTGAAGGAAAACCTACTCCAGTCTCTCCTCCTGTGGCTATAAAGCCGGTATTATTATCATTGTTGTTGCGGTTACGCAGGAGGCACCTCGCATCGCAGCCTAGAAGGGAGTCGCGTCTCTCCGCCGCCAAACAACAGGGGACTCAGACTGGGAAAAGACAGACCCGGGTGGGAGGAAACCTCCACGATGAAGAAGGGAGCTGCTAAGAGGAAGCTCGGAAGACTGGAAGAAAGGACCTTCCGATGCACGAAGGGAAAGCGGTGTTTGTGAAGTGGAGCAAGAAGTGGGCGGCCGAGGTGCAACGGGAAGAAGGGGCCCGAGACCCGCGGGAGGGCCGGGGCCAGTGGGAGGGCGGGGGCCGAGGCGGGCGTGGGCAGCTCGCAGCGACCGCCGGAGTCCGAGGAGCTAGGGCGCTTCTAGCGGCGCGAGGCGCGGGAGAGGGGAAGAGGGGGCGAAAAGAGGAAAAAAGAGCAGTTGAGGGGCCGAGAGAGCCGCGTCGAGGCCGGCGCGGCGGGGACAGCGGGCCCACCCCCAGCCAAGCCCCGCTACTTAACTATTTGTAGAGCTGCTGCAGGCACAGGTCCAGGCTCTCGCCCTCCACCTCCTCACGGGTGATGCGCTCCGACAGCGGCCGCGGGAGCGGGGGTAGAGGCGGCAGCTGGGGCTGCGGCGGCGGCGGCTGTACGGCCGACTGCCCCCGGGCTGCCGCCGCGTCCTCTTCCTCGCCCTGCGCCGCTGCCACCGCCTCTTCCTCCACCGCCTCCTCTTCGGGCTCGGGGTCTTGCTCTTGCTCCCCCTCCTCCGTAGCGGCCACAGTGGCCACCTCCTCGCCAGGATCCTCGACCGAAGCCTCGGCCGCCTCAGCCGCTACCAGTTCGGGCTCGGGCTCGGGTTCCGGCTCCGACTCGGGTTCGGGTTCCGGCTCGGGCTCGCCGCCGCCGCACGGTCCGCGAAACTCGCCCAGGAATAGCTCCAGGAAGCGCCGGTAAGTTTTCTCCTCGGGGCTGCAGCCGGCCATCGTTGCTCATGCCCCGGGGCCGACCGGGAAGTAGGGAGGGGGGGTAGGGAATCCAGGAAGGGGAGGGGGCTGCTCTCGAGCCTCGGGCTCCCGCAAAGGCTGTTAGCGGTCGCACCGGCACGAGCTATCAGCACTAGGTTGCCTGGAGAGGGCTCCCGCAGGCGTGCGCGCCGCCGAGCGCGGACGTGCGCGGCCCGGGGGTGGGGGCGGAGCGCGCCGCCCCCTCTCGGGTCTGGAGGGAAAGTTGTTAGCGGGCGCGCGCGCAGGGTCCAGCGGCGGCCCACCCTCCAGCCCTCCGGAGAGCTCAGCCCACGCTGCCTAGAGACTGTCGCCATGGTAACCGGCTCTAATTAAGAATTTCAGGGTCCCTCCCGTCGAGCCCGCGGAGTCGAAAAGGACACTCGACTCGCCCGCTCTCCAACTCTACATATCTTTATTGTATGGATACCCTAGCCTCAACTGGGTAAGAGTGAACTAAGACATCTCCAAGTCTAGCTGCTGGTTCGCACTTGGATTGGATTTACCTCGGTTTTCCTTATCTGTCCCTGCGTTGCCTTAGCGTAGGTGTCTGTTGAAAGATACCGCAGTGTCAACACCTTTTGTTGTTGGTGACACTAATTTAATAAGTAGTTTGGGGGAAAGGGGTATCACACACCTTTCAAGTGGTAGGTTCCTTTGCATATATCCTCTCATTTGATTCAGTGAAGAAAGTGGTGTTATCCTCATTTCTTAAAGACAGGAAACAAGATTAATATATATCTGCTTCCAGGTTTCAAAGCTACTCACCATGGCATTGTAATTAGAACCCAGGTTATCAGCCTCCAAAGCCTTCTAGAACCGTTTTTCTTTTACTCTTCTCTTCTTTACTTCTGCAATATGTCTATAAAGGCTTATTTTTATAGGACTTTATAGTTTACAAGTGTTTTCATACCTTTAATCCTTACAATAACATCTCGAGGTAGAAGACATCATTATCATTATGATTCCATTTTATAGATGAGAAAGCTGAGCCATAAAGATATGGTGACTTTGCTCAAGGTCACAAACAAGTGATACAACAAGGACTAAAATCCAGGTCTTTTCACTGCAAAGCCATTAGTTTTCCAGCATTCCAAGACACCCCTCTGTAGTCTCTGTATAAAACATATTATACCTTATTACATAATATGTACTTTTCATACATTTTCTTTGCTCTTCTTCCCCATCCTTCAAGCCTCCTTTTCTTTCTTAGATTGAAACTGAAATGACTTTAAATGATCCTAATTTTCTTACCAAACTATACACAAACCTATTATTTTCAAGCCTTACTGAGGGGAGTGGGAGAAGGAGAAGCTGTGTTGTTATACAGCTGTATAGATGATAGCATCATTACTGCATACTGCCATGTCCATGGCAACATATAATTCGGCAAAAACATAGTGATTCTTTCTCTACTTTGAAAAACATGTTCACAAATTATCCACCCCATCCTCTCCATTTATTGTTTCTGGGTTTTAGTTAGATTTAGGGTCTGAAATACCATTTCTAGTTGGCTATTAATGGAAGAAGAAGGAGTCTCCCTGCCAACTGTTTTCATGTAATACTGTATTCTAAATCCCTGACCTGTTACTGTTATTTTAAGATTAAGTGGGTTGAGCTCACTAATGTACATTATGGCATCATGTAAAACAGACATCCATTCTTTCTCCTAGTTCAAGATTAAATAATACATGATAGAAAGCATATAGTGAGTAATGCACATAAGTCCTCTATAACTATTTATTTTTGTCTCTGAGGTAAATGGAAAGACCCAATAAATAAGTCTGTTTCCAGACAAGCTAAATGTATTTATACGTGTTTTGTTTAAAATATCACCAATGTAGAACAACTTTTCTATGAGATGCCAAGAAAGCCTTTAAACTCCTCATTTGTCTTTGTTTTCAATCCACCTGTTCATTTCCATTTCAGAATGTCTAGAAAAGACTGACAAAACTTTTAAGGCTGCAAACCTAAATGTCCACAACTTTACATTCCAATAACTTTAAAATCTCAGAATTTGACATAATATCATTTAGTTCAAGAGTACATAGCTTTCACCTATAACAATTCAAGCTACACCCTGCTTTATAATGTAGTTGCCTCTCTGATCTAGATGACATTTATTTGTGACATTAATTTATGACTCAACTCACATATCAAAGGGAAGAAGTATTATATGTTGAAGAAACATTACTACTAAGAGTAAAAAGCCCACACCTCTTTTTTTTTTTTTTTAAAGATTTTATTTATTTATTTGACAGAGATTGATCACAAGTAGACGGAGAGGCAGGCAGAGAGAGAGAGAGAGAGAGAGGGAAGCAGGCTCCCTGCTGAGCAGAGAGCCCAATGCGGGACTCGATCCCAGGACCCCGAGATCATGACCTGAGCCGAAGGCAGCAGCTTAACCCACTGAGCCACCCAGGCGCCCCTCCACACCTCTTTATTACTATAAATGAGAGGTGTGTTTGCTTATATTAATAAAGATATTCCTTCACAAATATGGATCCTATTCCTTTCATTTGACAGAGTAGCTTGGCCAGAAGGTTGCTGACAGCAGTGCTGGGATCTCAGAGCAGCTGTGTAGGATGATTTTGCCATTGTCAAGAAGTCTTTTTAGTCATTATTTTGCATTGCTTTACTTTCCTTTTCAGTTCCTTTTCTCCTACACTTTCCTAATCCCCTTTCTTACTATCTATTAAAAAATAGTGAGCTACGAAAGTGCATGTACCAAGAGTATTTAAATTTTTTGAGGTTTTTCTTTCTTCGTAAGAATTGCTCTCCTTCTAACCCTTAGATCTTTGAAGGAAATATACAATGCCCTTTCATGGATAATCATAGTAATGATGATATCTATAAAATTAAAAAGAATCGTTAGGGGCTCCTGAGTGGCTCAGTTAAGTGTCTGCCTTTAGCTCAGGTCATGATCCCAGGATCCAGCAATGGAGCCTCTCATTGGGCTCTCTGCTCAGCCTGGTGCTTGCTCTCTCTCTGACACTGCCACCCCCTCCCCCAACCTCATGCTTGCTCGCTCTCTCTCAGTCTGAAATAAATAAATAAAATCTTTAACAAAAAAAAAAAAAAAAAAGAACTGCTGAGTTTGGCAGATCCTTATCATATGACCCAGGAATTCCTCTCCCAGGTATTTACCCATAAGAAATGAAAACATGCACACCAAACACATACACACGAAAAACCTGGTACATAAATGGTTCACAATAGTTTTATTCATAATAGCTTAAATTTGGAAATAACCCAGATATCCATTAATAGGTGAGTGAATAAACAAATTGTGGTGTATTCATACAATAGACTACTACTCAGTAGTAAAAAAAATTACTGATGAACACAATGTAGGTGAATCTCAAAAACATGCTGAGGGAAAAAAATCCAGGCACAAAAGGGTACATACTATATGATAATGTTTACATGAAATTCTAGAACAGGCAAAAATAATCTATGGTGGTTGCTTGCAACTGAGGTGGCGTGGGAGATTCATGGCAAAGGAGTAAAAAGGAATGTGGAGGGGTGGGGGATTAAAATGTTCTATATCTTGGGCGCCTGGGTGGTTCGGCGAGTTAAGCCTCTACTTTTGACTCAGGTCATGATCTCAGGGTCCTGGGATCGAGTCCCACATCGGACTCTCTGCTCAGTGTGGAGCTTGCTTCCCCCTCTCTCTTTCTCTGCCTGCCTCTCTGCCTACTTGTGATCTCTGTCAAATAAATAAATAAATAAAATCTTTTAAAAAAATAAATAACAAATAAATAAAATGTTCTATATCTTGACTGGGTGGTCACATCTATATATTCATTTGCCAAAAATTATTAAAGCAGGGCACCTGTGTGACTCAGGCAAATTTATTTATTTTTTATTTATTTAATTTGAGAGAGTGTGGAGTGGGGGGATGGGCAGAGGGAGAAAGAATCCTCAAGCAGACTCCCCACTGAGCGTGGTGCCCAACACAGAGCTCAAAGCCAGGGCCCTGAGATCATGACCTGAGTTGAATTCGAATCTGTTGCTTAACCAACTGAGCCTCCCTGGTACCCCAAGTGTCTGACTCTTGATTTCAACTCAGGTCTTGATCTCAAGGTTGTGAGTTCAAGTCCCATGTTTGGCTCCATGCCTAATTTTTTTAAAAAATATTAAAATGTACATTTTCTGTAACTGTATTATAAGTAAATTAAAGTTGATTTTAAAAATTAAACACAGGGATGCCTGGGTGGCTTAGTCGGTTAAGCATCTGCCTTCTTCTCAGGTCATGATCCAAGGGTCCTGGGATCAAGTCCTGCACTGGGCTTCCTGCTCTTTGGGGATCCTGCTTCTCCCTCTCCCTCTGTTGCTCCCATGCTTGTGCTTTCTCTCTGTCAAATAAATAAATAAAATCTTTTAAAATTTTTAAATAAAAGTTAAACAGAATAGGGGCACCTGGGTGGCTCAGTTGGTTAAGCATCTGCCTTCAGCTTGGATCATTACCCTGGAGTCCCAGACTTCCTGCTCAATAGGGAATCAAAGTCTTCTCCCTCTCCCTCTGCTCCTCCCACACTTGTGCTCCCTCCCTCTCTCTTGCTTGCTCACTCTCAAATAAAAAAATAAAATCTTTTTAAAAAAATTAAACAGAATTGATTAATATGTTAGTCCCTGTCCTTTCTGTTCTTGTATCACTCTTACCCCCTTCGCTCTGTATTATAGGGAGGCTGAACCTTTCTAGCTATATTCACCGGGTTCCTTGACAGTTTACTTCCAGCTGAAATTTTCTCAGTGGGAGGTATTGACAGGAAAAGGGAAGGTGGGAGGACAGGTGAAAACCAGGATATTTATTCCCTGTCCCTTATCTCAGTTCTAATGCCTACTGCATCTCGTTGGTAACTTGCTCCCCCTGAATATGTCTATCGAAATTCCAATTTTTGCCTATGACAGCAGTCTCTGAGCTCCAGAAACATCAACTTCCTTCATTTGTCCATCAGCCTAGAGATGGTAGTGGCTTC